GAGGAAAGCCCTTCTCCTGGAGGGCGGGGAGCCCAGGGGGAGGGCCGCAGGTGACAGAAGCCCCACCTGGGGGCAGCTGGGGGCCTGGCTCTGGCTGCCTTCCTACTGCCCCAAGGCTGCCTCGGGCGAGCCACCACCTGGACCCCTCCAGCCCACCACAGGGGCAGCTCCCTCTCCCTCAGTAACAACCTGTGGCTGATTCAGCCTCAGCCCCAGGGACCACTCTGAAGTCCCCCTCCTGGTAGCCAAAGTCCCTGAGATGGACCGAGGGATGCATTTGGTCCAGCTGCCAACATCATCTTGACCTTGGCAGCTACTAATTCCCTTTGAGGGGGTTCTGCTGCTCTGGCTGGCCGGTGGCCCCTAGGGGTGCCTCACAAGCACCAGGGTCCCCCACAGATGGGGCAGCACTAAGGAAGGAGGCTTGGGACCTGTGGGGAAGGGAAGGAAAAGGATGAGGATGGAAAACGCCCAGCCCATTTCCCACAAATGAAACCGGTTAAGTAGTGCAGCCCCTGCCCCAAACACCTCCACCTTCAGCAGGAACCAGAATCTGAGCCAATGGGGACAGAAGAGAGTCCAGCTCTGGGAAGCCAGGCCCCAGCTGCTCTGGCCCTGGGCCCGGGGTGCAGAAGAGGGGGGCAAGGCTCCCATCCCTTGGTGCCCTCCCACCCCCCGACAGGAAGGCCGGACAGCCAAGGCCATCGCCTCCAGAGCTGCCTCTCAGCCCCTGCCCACCCCACAGCCTGCCAAGGGCGGCCCGGCACACCTCTCCAGCTGTCTGGGCCGTGCTGCAAGCAGGGCCTGAGGGCCATGGAAGGCCTCCAGCTCAGCTCATTATCGGAATTTAATCTGGATTCTGAGAGATCAAGAGGACTGGGAGGAAAGCAGCTGCCACAGGAGGAGAGAGGCTGAGGCCAACCCAAAGCCCCTAATCCCCGGCACCCCCAGGGCTTCCCTGGAGCTCGGCAGAGGCTCGCCGGAGAGCCAGATGTCCCAGCTCTGCACAGCTGGGTGGCTGGCGGCAGCGCGGCCGCGGCTCTCTGAGCAGAGGGAGCAGGCCGGCCACAAGGCAGGGCGCGGGGGCAGGATCTGGGTCCCACCGGGGATCAGGAGAGTCAGATCTATAAAAACGGCCTCAGCTTGGACAAATGCAAACAGGGGCTCCATCAGCACACAAGGTCAGGCCTTCATCTGCACAAAATCCAGCGATTTTTGCACAGGGAGAAAAAGGGTGCTGCAGCCAAAACCTGGAGCTCTCCATTCCTCTAAGGAGGTCTCCGCATTCCCTGCAATGAGGATGATGGAGATGACGATAGCGACGGTTATGGAGACAGGGAGGGTGGTGCTGCTGGTGAAGGTGAAACTGACATTCATTAGTGAACATTTACTGAACACTTACTATGTTCTAAGTAAGTATGTCAACCCCCTTCATCCTAGCCATGACCCTGGGAGGCAGGTGCAATTATCAGTCCCACTGTGTGGAGAAGGACACTGAAGCTGTGAGGGGTTGTGACTTCCCAAGGCCAAAATGGTACGTGGTGCTGGGACTCGAATTCACAGTCTTACTAGCTCGGAGATCCCTCCTGGAATTATATAATAGAACTGTTTTGCTTCTGGATTAAAAAACAAAACGCCACCCAGAAGAAAAGTAAATATTTTTTTTTGTTTAAATGTTAACCTTTAAACTTCCAGAGCATGAGGGCCTTGCCTCCTTCTTGCACGTACCGAAAGGGAATTTAGAAATCTAAAGACAGTACCCCCTTCCTTCCCACCAGTGCCCCTCACTCCACTCGCTGGCCCAAGATTGGCACACTTTCAACTGCCGCATTACCCCCTCTGCTTGCACGCAAGCTCCTAGAGGGCAGGGACTTGGGTGGGGTTACAGCAGCCAGTGCCTGGCATATATTTGCTGATGAGGGGCTTTGTATCTCAGGAAATCAAAGTCCCCAGAGGCAGGAACCCAGAGTCAGGCACCCCCAGAGATCTCCTGTGACCAAGCTACTCACTGAGGACAAGCCCACCAGGGAGCCTACGACAGCTATCCCCACCCATCCTTCTTCCAGCCAGTGACTCAGGTCTCCTCCCTCCCCTGGGGCCTCCATATCCAGCCCACGGCTCTAAGGCAGGGTTGATGAGGCAGCCACCTCAAACTGTGACAGGACCACGTGCCCACGTTCTTGGCAGGTTGACACAGGTAGAAAGATGAACAGCTGCTGGCAGCCTGGTGGGGAAGCCAGAGGCTCATGTTTCATCTAGGCAAGAACTGTGGCTTACCCTGCCCAGCATCACTGTCCTCCCTTCTGTCCTTCCTACGACCCCTGCTTGCACGTCTTCTTCACCCCATTATAGGTTCAAGTCCTGCTGGGCCTGTGCATGTGGCCTTATTGGAACTTTATTTGGAACTAGGGTCTTTGCAGGTGCAATCAGTTAAGGAAGATGAAGTCATACTGGACAGGGTGGGCCCCTAGCCCAAGAAGACTGGTTTCCTCCTAAGAAGAGAAAGGCACACCAAGGGAGCGCCGTGTGAAGACACAGCGCCATGGGGCTGCAGAGGCAGAGAGCAGACTGACGCAGCCGTAAGCCAGGAGCGCTGACAATCAACAGCCACCACCAGGAGCTGGAAGAGGCACACGGGACCCTCCATGCAGGTTTCTGAGGGAGCACAGCCCCGCTGACACCTTGATTCCAGACTTGGAGCATCCAGAACTGTGAGAGGACATTTCTGTTGTTCTAAGCCACCAGCTTGGGTACTCCGGGCGGGGGAATGGGGGAGACAGCCCCGGGAAATTATACACTCCTCAGCCAGCATTTTAAAGGATATCCCACCCTTGTGACCTGGGCTTACTTGCCCCCACAGTCCAGGTCTGAGGCCAGCGGGTGACACATGGGTGCTCAGTGGTGACTGAATAAATGAATTGCTGGGCTCACACATGCCTCTCCAAATGCAGTGGCCTCTGACCTCCATGAAGGAGGTGCCCTGCCCACCACGTCCCCCTTGCCCATCTCAGAGTCTCTGGTGCTCTTTCCAATGCATGGAGCAGAGCAGGTGTGCACAGGAGGTGTGGGACATGTGGGCGGGGCCTCCCCTTGCACTGGGGGCAGCGCCTGGGGATACTGGCAGTCCTGAAGCAGGCTCCTGCTCACAGGAAGGAGGGACGGCCTCAGCAGCATCCCAGGCCACCGCAATGACCACCGGCCAAGGAGGGTATATGTGTCCCGCCTGGAGAACTTGGAGGAAGAGTCACCCAGGTGACACCAGCCAGCCCTTTCAGTTCTGCTCAGCCAAACACACTCGGGCAGCTGCATTCCTGGGGTTAAATGTCTTGATGGAACTTTCTGAGGCCGGCCTGGGGAGCCTGCCAGGAGGCCTGGGGTATGAGCAGGGCTCGGGTTTGCTCAAGTGGGCTCATCAAGTGCTATAGATGAATAACCTCTGGGTACCTGCCTCACCCCCAATTAATCAGCCTTCATGAGAAAAGTCAAACATGTGTTCTTGCTCAAGAGCCCCGGGGGATCTGTCAGAGAACAGAGCAAATACATGTCACACTCCAGGAATAAACTTGATGCTTTTTCTTGTATTGGGCCTGAGGTTAAGCCTGCCAGGGTTACCTGGGGCACCTGAGTGCCTCAGTAAGATGTAGAGGTAAGGTCAAGGCTATCTGCCACCTCCCCCCTGCGCTGCACCCACATTCCTTTCTGGCACCACCCCTTGGAAAGGATCTGGCACCCCGTCTGTAGGGCGATGCATGCATGTGGGGGCTCTAAAATGCAAACTGAAGCCACACTGAGACACCATTTGTCACCCATCAGACTGAGAAAGATCAAAACAGTCTGATAAGAGATGGTGCTGGTGACACATGGGGTAGCAGGCCTCTCACTGCTAGCAGGAGGGCACCCTGGCACAACCGAGGCAAGCGGTTCAGCAAAATCTATCAGTGACCAATGTGTGCACCTGACCCCACCATTCTCTCTCTAGAACTGTATCTAAATGATAGACATGCACACACATGAAATAAGGTGTCATGGAAGATACCCTTCCTACTAGGTGCTGCCATCTATTACATGGGAAAACGGAGACCCTAAGACCCTGCCATGTACGTGTAGGGAACAGATTAAATACTGATGGCCCTGCACACATGAGGAAGGGAAGTGGGGGTGAAAAGAACAAGGACTCTCCCTGTGGAACCACATGGAAGGATTATCAAGGTTTACTGCCAAGTGGCAGTAGTCAGGGGCAGGACAGAGTGTATGATGTACAATTTCCGACAACACACAAACACACAAATATATTTGCTGATTTGCTCAAACCAATGGCTGCCTAAGGTAAGCAACTTTGCCACAGTTGCTCATCTTTCTTTTGAATTCTATACCATGAATGTATCTTACCTATTCAAAATCAAATTTCTTAAAGAAAGATTTTTTTGCATGCCTGAGCTCAAGTCCTATTTGGCCCCTTTCTCTCTGGGTGATCTTGGGCAAGTGACACACCATTTGCTTCCAGGTCTTAATTCTCCCCATTTCCCAGATGAGTCACTCTTCAGAGGGCCATTGTGAATATAAACTGCGAGAGTCCTCTGCCTGCTTATTTATGGCTTGAGGGTTTTTATCCCCTAACATTTTATTACAAATGGTCACTTTCATGACAAAAAGTTTCTTCCTCCTCCCCGTCCCCTTCTCTGTTATGCCCCTAAACACACGTACACCCAGGCCACCCGGAAACACCTAGATAGGGCCACACAATTCCAGAGTCACCTGAACATCCCCTATACCTTCATTTGCTGACAGTGACAGTGTGAAGAAATAGTGACATACACCGTATCTCTTCTTTAAAAAGGTCTTCAGGACAAGGACTGTGCAGGGGGTCGGTGCTCCGTGGTGGGAGCAGCTGCACATGCCCGCCCAGGCCCACTCTGGCCCCATCCTCTGGCCGCCACCCCCTTCTTCCTCTGCAGCTGGAGAGAGTGCAGCACCTTCCCAGCCACCGCCAGGGCACCCACCTGCCCAAGTGCTCCTGCAGCACCTGGTAAACGCTGATCCGGAACGTCTCGTTATCGAAGCGTTCCCGGATGTAGTCCTTGTAGATCCGGAATTCGGCTGCAGTCACAGCTTCCCCTTCTGGGATCTTGGAAAGATCAAACCGGAACTCCCGATGGTGGTAGCGCGGGTGGAAGAACTCTCTGTCATGTTCCACTGGAAAGGCAAGAAAACACACCCCAGCACCAAAAGCTCGTTAGTGACTGGGTGTCATTGTCCCAGACCACAGCCCAAGTTCCCTGACTGAGCTAGATGGAGGCGGGCACACGGCCAGCACCTCCTGGCGATGACTGCCCATTCCGCGCTGACCTGCTCCAGCCTGGAAGGCCACAGGTGCAGACCCAGGGTCACTTGAACGACGAAAGCAATGCGGAAACAGTGGGGCACTGGCCTCGCCATCCCAGAGATGCTGGGCAGACTCGGGTTCCAGGAGATCAGGCCCGGGTTCAAATCCAGACTTGGCCACTAACTAGTTGGCCTGGACAAGATACCAGGTAACTTACCTGGACCTCAACTTCTTTCTCTAAAAACTAGGGTAATAATCCTCATTCAAGGATTGTTGAGGTAAGTGATCTAATCCACATAAATAGTTTAACCTCTGGCAGGGATAGTTAATTGTAAACATAAACCTTACTACGCTTTTTGCAGGGTGCCCTAGGCCCGTCATGCTCAGCCCCAGCGGCCTGTGAGAATCACCACGGGAGCTTTGAAAAATGCTGATGTCCTAGCCGAGGTGTGAGCTGGTGACGTTTAAGAGTCTGCAGTGTTTGCCAATTTCCAACCCGGCAGGTTCCAGGCTACCACGGTGAAGTCACCAAAGATGGAGGCGGGAACGATGGCACGCAGTGGGCTCTAGCACCCTGCCCTGCCTGCCTCCTCTGGACCAAGTGAACCTGTACCTTTGATACTGCACTTTTTAAAGTACTCCAGATGTTTCTCATAGCAGCCAGGGTTTACAACCACAGTTAGATTAAGAGCTGAAAAAGAGGCAAATGGCAGAGTCTGGGGGTGGGGGGCTCTTTTGAAAATGACTTCAGGACAAAACAAGGCAAAGGTCTCAGCTTTTTTCCCTTATACTGGCAATGGTACTAGACTGAGACATTATGCCCATCTCAGAGATGATGAATACCAAAATGGGTAAGCCTAGCAACAGTGTTTCTGGGAATGGGCCTGTTGTTCCCAAGGATCACGCATCCTCTGGTCCAAAATGGAGCTGGGATGAAGTCGGGGGTCAAGTGCAGGACGGAGGCAGAATGGCCCAGCTCAGCCAGGCCTGCAGCACATGCTGCGAGATACAGTCCCACCTCCACTTCCAGCCTGGGGGCATGGGGAGCAGAGAGAGAGGGACTGATAATGCAACCAGGCTGGCTGGCCGGAAGAGAGGACACACATGAGCCCAAAGGCTCTCAGGCTGGGTTAGAGATGCACGCAGCATGTGATGCCTTTAAGGCAGGCGGTTCCCAGCACTGGTAGCCCAGAGGTCCTGTTACAGGTTTCCATTAAAAAAATTTTTAAAAATCTGTTCTAAACCTTAATAATAGTCCTAAAAAATATTGGCATGAGGGCAGGGGGTGCTAAGGAATTATCCACTCAGCAGGCTGTTCCCTACAGGGCAGAGAGGGCAGATGAAGTCCTTGAGAGTGAGGGGCATGGCAAAGAGCCCAGCTCACCGTGGAGATGCCCTGGGCCAGTCCTGTCATCCTCCCAGTTCATCTACCCTCCAGGTCACTCTAGGAGGTGGCACAAGCCGTGCCAGTAGGGGATGCATCTGACACCCAAGAGGTGTTGAAGGCATGCCCACGGTCAAGGTGCTGGGACTCAAACCTGGTCCCCCCCCCAAATTGGACAGTCACCAGGCATCTCAACGGCTGTGCTAACTCAGCAAGAGTTCCTTTGCCTGTTAGGACTTCACTGCATTACAGCATGTCTGTAACATGTGCCCACACCTTGTGTGTGCAGCCCAGCGAACTGTCACAAAGCAAACCCACTCATCAAACCTCTGCCCAGGTCAACGATCAGACTGTCACCAGCATCCCCCTTTTCTCCCCTGGCTTTGCAAACTGTAGGTTTGTTTTGCTTGTTTTGAACGTGGTAAGCAGAGAATAACACAGTATATATATTCCTTTGTACCTGGCGTCTTTGATTCGACAGTGTCTGTGGGATTCATTCGTACCACTGTGGATGTTCACATCCTCACTGTATATAAAATTCAGTTTGATTACAGCACAATCCATTTGTCCCTTCTAGAGCCCATGCACCTTTGGGTGGTTCCAACCTGGGCTCCTGCTGCAGTGCCGCTCCTGCACTCTGGTGAGAAAGGGCGAGCAGAGCTACAAGTGGAAGTGTGCCCAGCTTAGTAACACTGACCCTCCCCGAGTGTTGTATCAAGGAGCTTTGTCAGTGTGTGCAGGGAGGAGTGATGCAAGAAGACTGGCCTGCCTATGAAGGTGACAGCATAGCCTGGAGACAATGTGGTGGCCTCCTTAAGGGCTTTTCCGCAGGGGAACTGGGAAGGGGTGGTGAGGCAGTGACCCCCTGCAAGCAGTCAGTGTGCACCGTGTGCTGCCTCAGCCTCTGCACCCTGCGAGGCCTCAGTGAACACAGGGGTGCCCCCAGCACCCCCCACCCAGTGCAAGGTCACCCAAGCCCATCTTGTAATTGAGGTCATCACCTTGCCTCCAGGTAGCAGCGTTCAACACGTGGCTCGTTCAGCCTTCACAGACCTCGGCTGCCTGCAGCTCCCATCTGTGAGCACTCCTAGGTCTCCCCCAGCTCTCTGGCCACTCCTTGAAGCATTCCCTGAGATATTTCTGTTTGTGGGGGGTTAACATGGAGTTGTGGAATAGGAGGGGGGCACTCCACAGGCCACTCCCTGCTCCTCACTGCTGAGGGTTCCAGGCAAGATCTCCAATGGCAGATAAAGTCTCCGTTTCTGTTTCTAACCATCTTCCATTCCCCTCCCACAGTGGTGCCAAATCTCCGAAGGTCATGAAGAGCCCTTGACAGGTGTAATGCTTCGATGTCAGCAAAGAGGGCTGCTCCACACTGTCACGTGCAGGAACCCCAACCATGATGCCAACGCCGTGAGGCCCCCAACAAAAAACTCCGAGCTGCACCTGCTAGCAAATACAGCAATCAACCAAAACCAAGACTGGGAGTGCAGGACCCCCGGTTTACAATGAAGACGGCTAAGAACATATTTATTGAGTGTGTGCCCTATGATGGGTCCCCCACTGAACACTCCTCGCCACCATCTGATGGAACTCAGTGAGACAGGACTGACACCCATTTTATAGATGAGGCAATTGCAGCTCAGGGAAGTCAGGTAACTTACCCAAGGTCACACAAGTTTAGTAAGTGGCGGAACCTCAAAACCCCCACTCTTGACCTCTGCGCTGTCTGCAGCCAGGTGTTCTGAGTTCGAATCTCAGTGTGCACCAGTGTGGTTTTGGCCAAGTTATTTAACTTCTGCCTCCCCTCCCACTGGGAATAACAGTAATGGTCCTTTTTCATGAAGTTGGCACTTAATAACAGTGCCCGACAAATTGTGTCTGCCATTGTTACGAAGCCTCTAAAACAATGAGCTAGAGAGTGCCAATCACTATAAAAGCAATATGTGCATGTGAATATTTACATAATTCAGTAATGATAACTTTATTGAAAAAAATTACAATAGATGAAATAATAAGGTTTGAATAAGCATGACATTCACACAGGTACAGTTACTGAAATCACACCCAGGGAAGAAGGAAAACTCTGATACATAATTCAAAAATAAAAAGTTTACTGCAGCAGGGGTATATGTAACTTTTTAAATGAGTAAGATAAAACGTATCTTGACTGTTAAGAAAGTTTTGATAAGGGCTTAAGTTTCTTTTTTAAAAATGATATATGGCTGAAGTGTCCATGTAAATTTCATGCAAACATGCGCAGGCTCTTTGGGAAGGCTTTCTGAATGAACTTTCTCAATTATTTTAAGACAGTGAGAGGTATGAACCACACAGCCATTCTGTTCTTCCTGAAAACCCACATCATCACGTGTTCTGAAAATAATTTTGTATTCTGTCAAAGGAAGAACAGTCATTAAAAAAAAAAAAAGGCACTGAATACTTCAAAGTCCAAACCAAATTCTAAATCTCACCTTCCTAAGATCTCCATTTTATATGGAAGCCACAGCATGGAATCTCCACATTTCAATCTCAGAGTTGAAGAAGGTTTGTCCCCACTGAAGCAGATAGAAGCATGCATGTACTTTCAGGGAGAAAAAAACGTCCTTACCGCTTTCTTCTGATGTTACCATAGTTGATTACCCAAGGTTTGGTTTTAAAATAAATGTCCAGAGTTGGTATCTCTCCGTGTCCATAAAGAAAAGCTTCCTAAGGAAACCTGGAGCCTAGGAATCCACCTTTTTTCCCACCGCCCTTTACATTCCAGCACCCCACCGGCTAGGGAAGCTCACAGGCATTAACAAAGACTTTCATCTTCAAAAGATTAAAAGGGCCCAAATCCCCGAGACCAAAAGATAAGTCCAAAGAAAATGGACTCCCGAAAACACCATCCTGACAGCAACCAACCCCATGACCGTCCCCAAAGCGTATTCTCGTGTCACTCTTTTATAAAAGCATGAAATAATGCCCCTAAAACTCTGTCCAATAAAGGGCAGAGGCAGGTGGGAACAAGAGGCCGCCCACCTGAATGTCCCCTCTCATGACCCTCTGACTTGTCAGCAAAGAACTCTGCCCCATATGCCAGTCAAGCCTGTGCCCCAGCACCACCAGGAGCACCGCACCCCTTCTCAGCATCTGGGGTTCCTCCTCCCATTTACATTACACAACACGTACATGCATACCCCCACTCAGTTTTAGCGCCTCTGAACAAGGGGATTACGAAATCCAACCCGCCGTGTAGACTTGCAAAGGGCAGCATGTATTTAAAGGGTACCTAAGCAAGGGTATTCAGAACCATGCTTTACAGAACTGTGTTTAACACCCTAAAATTAGGGGTGTGGATCCTCAATATACAGTCTTGTGTGCATACATTATTATACACAAAGATAAGGAATACAGTAAATTCTTGCAAGTGTGAGAAAACAAATATAGAAGATACCACATTTCTCTGCTCCCTTGTGGATTATTTTGTGCAAGGGCACAGCTCCC